AAGCACACTGCCTCTGACACACCCATCTCGACTACCTCAGTCACTGAATCAATCCACCTCAGAGGGTCTTCCCCTCCTGCGCCATCCCTCCACCCTCCCAAGCATGATGTCCCTCTCCAAGGACCTGTCCCTCCTTACAACATGTCCAAAGTATGTCAGACTAAGCCCCAGAATCCTTGCCTCCAAGGAGCAGCCCGGCTTAACCCTTTTCAGGATGAATCTGTTTGTTTTCTTGGCAGTCCACGGTACAGTCAATACTCTTCTCCAGCACCACAGCTCAAAGGCATCAATTCTCCTTCTATCCTCCCTTGTCATTGTCTAACTTCTGATGCATAACAAGTGATTGCAAAGACCATGGCCTCTATCAGATACACCTTAGTCTCCAGAGTGATGCCCTTGCTCTTCGGTACCCTGGAGAGGTCTCTAACAGCAGACTTTCCCATTGGAATATGTTTTTTGATTTCCTGGCTACTGATGCCAAGAGTGTTGACTGAGGAGCCAAGCAGACTAAAGCTATTAACAATCTCAATCTCTCCACCATCCATCCTGATGCTGCCAATTAGTCCAGCGGTGAGAATCTTTGTCTTCTTGACATTGAGCTTCAATTCATACTGAAGGCTGCAGACCTTGAAGTTAATCTGGTGATTGTTTAATCTTCCTTAGTATTGTTATGTGTCATCAGGTTGACTACAGCTAGTAGTAACAACATATCAGAACCTTGCCTTTTCCTGCTCCATCGTGCCATGTGACAGGCCAGCACTATAGTCACTGTGTCAATCCATTTCATTGAGGGTCATCCTCTATTTTGCTGACTTTTCTTAGCATTATGCCTTTTTCCAAGGACTAACTTCACCTGACAGTATACCTATAACCTGTGAGAAAAAGGTTTGCCATCCTTGCCTCTCAGAAGAGGGAGGTCTTCAACAGCAGATTTTCCCAGTGTAACATGTCTTTTGATTTCTTGACTGCCGCTATAGGTGTGGATGTGGATCCAGGCAAAATGGAGCTGTTAGCGGAGAACCATGATTCTGTGGGTCTGCTATGTGCCGCCAAAAAAGAAACTCTAATCTTGGAGACAGAAATTGGAGTGGGAAAAGCAAAAGATTTTATTCAAAAGCATAGAGGAGATGGGGATGAGCTTCTCCAGTCTGCCCCTGTTCTGTTAGAGACAGTGGGGATTATACAGAGTGGCTTCAGGCAGTGAGTGAGAATTCATTCTCACAGTGTCTTCTCATCTCCAGGTGTCCAGGTCTGATGAGAATTCAGTTAAGAACTGTCCAAGGAAAAAAGAAGAAATGTCAAAGGGCTAAGAGAGCTGGAACCACTCAGTGTTTTAGGACCAAAGGAGAGTAATCCCAGGTGTGGGATGTAGATCTTAAGGGAAATTCATTGCAGCTCCAGATTGCCAGATGGGAGGAAGGAAAACATAAACTAACCTCTTCTTTTAATTTGCTTAGCAAATTGGTAAACAACCTAGAAACGGCCTTTGGTTTTATAAAGAAGTCAGTTTAAGCTTAGAAGGAAGAGAGAGGAAAGAAAACCAAAAGGAAAAACTTTTTTTTCCCTTTTAAATGTTTATGTTGTTGTTATATGCCATCTAGTTGCCTGCCTCTATAGGGACTCAAATAGCTTGGCTCAGGAAACTCTGAAGTTGGAGAAATGATGAAAATTATACAAGTGTTCAGGTCTTTTGTTCATAGAGTCTACAGCTCGATGGCTCTTAATAACAACACCACCAGCATAGAGAGAGATCTCTGTGGGCTTTGTGGATAGAAAGTTATGCTGCCAAGCCAAAGGTGGGTGGTTTTAATCTGCGGGCCTCATACTTGGTTTTAACTGTTTTTGATCAAACATTCTTCTAAGTGACATAGCACTGGTCTGCCCATCTGCTATGCAGAGGTAACATGTGGTTGCTGTGGTTCTGAACACTGTGGCACTGATGTGGCAAATGCGATAATGGTTACTCATGGTGAACAGTGTTTGGTGGAGCTTCTTGATTAAAACAAGCTTGGAAGCAAGAATGGCATCCAACATAGTCCCAACCTAGGAACTCTGTGCACAATATCTCTGAACCCTGTTCTATCTTAAGTCAATCTCATAGGTCTCGGACATACCTTCCCTATTTACCCCAATTACCTTCTTAATCCATCTCATCCAGGGTTTTCCTCTCCTGCCCTATCCCTCCCCCCTTCCAAGTATTATGTCCTTCTCCAAGGACCAGTTTCTCCTGGAAACATATTCAAAACATGTGAGACAGAGCTTCTGAACCCTTGTCTCTGAGAAACAGCTTGGTTTCACTCATTTTACTTCTAGCTTATGGTATTGTGAGAATTTAGTATTTATTAATTGAGAAATTGCTATTTAGGGACCATTGAGTCCAGTACAACTCATATCAACCCTATGAACAGATCTGAACCCTGTCCTAGCCTGTGCCATCCTTATCATCCCCCACACATATGAGCCCATAGTTTCAGTCACTGTGTCAATTCATCTCCTTGAGGGTCTTCCTCTCTTTCACTGACCTTCCACATTTCCAAGCATGATGTCTCTTTCTAAGGAACAACCTCTCCTAACAACATTCCTAAAGGGGAGTTCTGGTGGCCTAGTGGTGAGGAGCTTCGCTGCCAACTCAAAGGCGCACAGTTTGACTTCCCTCTTTTCCCCTTGTAATCTTTCCATCTTCTTTTGATGCTTCCTGGATCATTCAAGATTTTGCCCATCACATCTCTCATTAGTAAAACTCAAGGCTTGAATTTGTTTTTCAGTTCCTCCAGTTTGAGAAATGATGAATGAGTGCTTCTTTTTCTATTCTCCAACTCTAGATCCTTGCACATTCTGTTGTAATACTTTGCTTTGTCTTCTTGAGCTGCCTTTTGAAATCTGATCATCTCTTTTACTCAGCATCTCTTCCCTTTCTTTTGGCTTCTCAATGCTCTATTGAAATTTTCAGAGCCTCTTCTGACATTTATTTTGGTCTTTTCTTTTTTTCCACCTGGTCTTTATTATGAGATCTTGACATCATCCCACAATTTATCTGGTCTTCTGTTTGACTTCAAACTTGGTTTTGACATGGTTTTTAAGTTCAGATGGGATGAACTCAAGGTTGTAGGTTGGCTCTTGTAGATTTGTTTTATGTTTTCTTCAACTTCTATTTGACCTTTCACGTGAGTAATTGATGGTTTATTCCACAGTCACTAGTTGGCCTGGTTTTGACTACTGATACTGAATTTATCCAGCAATTCTTTACATACATTTATTCAATCTGATTCCTGTGCAGTTTATCAGGTGAAGTCCATGTGTCTGGTCACCATGTGTTTCTTTTATTATTTTTTTACTTTATTTCAAAGTCCATCTGTGTGTGATTATTAAAAAAAGATATTTGCTATAAATAAATCATTGAATGTACAAAATTCAATCATTTAATCTCCAGCCTCATTTCTCTCCCCAAATTCATAATTGTGGTGTTGTTGTTAATTGCCATCAAGTACAACTCATAGTAACCCTATGAACAAAAGGCCTAAAGCCTTTATATATATATAT